ACAACAACAACAACAACAACAACAACAACAACAATAACAAAACAAGCAAACTAATCAAAAATAAATTACAATCGAAAGCACAAACGACCCCCCCCAAAGAAAAATAATTTAAAAATATATTTCTAAAAAGTACAAAAACCATAATTAAAAACAAAAACAACCAACAATTAAGTCAAAGCTAACACAATCTAATCTAACTAGAATTCTAATCAAACAGAGAAACATACAAAAAATACCATCCAAAAATAATAAGTCAGTAAATGAAGAATACTTAGTTGAAAGACTTCATCTGTTCCCGACAACTTACTCTTGACAACTGTAGCAGGGCCGGATGAAGGCGAGGGCCCGAGGGGATCAGGTCCTGGGTCTCCCACAAAGAGCGGGCCTCCCACAGAAACAATGAGTTTGAGTCAGATAATACTCCGTCAATTGGCATTCAATGACTCGACATCATCGGCCACTTGGCCTCACAAAAATCGAGCAAAGTGTCTGGACTGTTCGTTATAGCCCCATCCATTCTCTGATTTCAATTTTGATATTTACCTGTTAGCTATAGGGGCCTACTATACTTTTTCATGAAAAATTTAATGATTTTAACTGAATGACTTTCTCTGTGTAAATATATTTTGTAAGACAACCTGCATTCATCATTTCTATTTCGTGTTTTTACGCCATATATTATAACTTTGGAAGAAAAGTCCCCGTTCAGTATTTACTAACTAAAAGTGTCCTATTTATATAATAGTACGATTTAGGATTCTAGTTTGTGGTGGGTGTGTGCAATAGGGGGAGTTGAAAAGGGGGCCTGGCCTCCCACATGGCTAAGCTAATCCAGCCCTGCTCAGAAGAGACTTTTAAGACGTTACACAAGGGACATCTTTATGCGCAGCAGGCGTCACAATACGTTTCCTCACTAGATCTAAAAGCAAACCTGTGGGCTTTAGTAGTGTTGAACTGTACAACGAATTATTCCGAACTAAGCTGAAACAAAATATCAGGAATTCTTTTTATTTTTCGAGTGCCCAATCTGAGACAGACGTTGGCGACCACAGTTCGTCCCTCATTTCTCTGCTCAGAAGCTCTTTAAAATATCCTCGTCTGTTTCATGCACAATAATCGATTTGTCAAAAGCTTCATAATGTGTAGCCGAAGTATAATAACATATGTCGTATACAACATTCATAACTTAGCGAAATTGTAGGGCCTACTACTACTACTACTACTACTACTACTACTACTACTACTACTACTACTACTACCAGATGGGTGACAGGAAAAGACCAGGATAATATATTAATAACATGTTTTGTGGGTGGGGAGAGACACCCAAGCAGAGAAATAAGCGACAAACTATGACCACCGATGTCTATTTTAGACATTCACTTTAAGAACAAAACGAATTATTAACATGTTGTAAATGTAATTCTCTGCTTTCTCCTTTTTCCAGGTGACGAAACAGTTTGAGGATATGAGAATCAGGGCGGAATCGTCCCGCTCCAGAAGCAACTCTCCCATGGGCAGATCTACGTCCCCCGCAGGGTCCGAGCGGTCCCTCATCACGGCATCCCTGGGTCGTCGCAGTCCAAGCCCCTCCCCGGACAGGCGAGGGTCGTACAGAAGCCACAACCCCCTGTCCCCCTTGAGCACGTCTCCCCCAAAGTCACGATCACATTCGCCGCGGTTAGGAACCCCCGGGGTGTACATGAGAAGGTCCTTCTCTCATGAAAATGGCGGCGTTTCTCCCCTTCAAGCCTCACCCGTGTCCTCCCCAGAGACGAACAGACGTCTGCTGTCGAAAAGAAACTCTGGCAATCCGAGAACACTTTCTCCTCAAACACAAACTGTTTCTTTGACAACCGTTACTGCGTTGAATATGTGTAACTCTTCTAAAAGCAAACACAAAACTGTGGCAGTTCGCTCGCCTTCTATGGACAAAGGAAATACTCAGCTTCCTCAGATAGTTATAAGCAGCGAGCCCCCGTCTGGTAGCCAAAGCAATGACTTCCAGACAACTCCGCCCATTATAACTGTATCAGCGCAAGCAAGTACAACAAACACAATGGGACCTTTGATCTCTGACGTCAAGGTCATGGAAACTGGAAGCAGTTCGCTATCGGTTCCAGTGAGAAGAGGTCGAAGCAACTCCGTGCCTTCTCTGCCGCCCCCGCCTCCACACCTCCAGGCCTTAGCCAAAAAACAGTCCAGCTTCTCTACGGATGCCGAACTGGACGTTGTGCCTATCCGCACGAGAGGGAGAAGCAGCAGCATCTGTGTGCCTTACTATGCTCACCTCAAAGACGCTCCCCGTCGAGATTCTTTGCTAAGGAAGTACACAGCCCGTCGCGGCTCCTACCGCCGCACCTCGTTTACAATACAAGAGATCATCTCCGACATAAGTAAGGGCATTAACCACATGGACCTATTCGGGTCCTACAACAAACGGACAGGCGTCTCGCCGGAAGAGTGGGAAAAGCTGAAGCAATGTCGCTACTTGCGCATGCCCAGTCATGAGGAAGATGTTCGTAGTAGGACTTTAGATATTGATGCCATTTTTTCTCACAATGACAAATGATTAATCAATCAGCTGATTGACCCGACAATAGTAACTGGGTGCTTGGGGAAAAACAACGTAAAAACAAAAATAAAGGAAAGACTTGAACCATAAAACAATCTACTCGTAGACCCTGAAGCCAACAGCGAATCTACAGATACAATTGCCCCTGGCTAGCGCTGGAATCTCTCTCCTCCCCTCCCCCCCCCCAACAATTGCTTCGATGTGAACGTGCTCTGTAGTTGAATGAGCGAGTCGGAAAAACTTGCTTCACTAACAGTCCCTTACTACTTGCGCCCAGGACATGTTCCATGTCTGTCAGAGATAGACCCCTGAGTGTCGGTCATAGACAGACCCCTGAGTGTCGGTCATAGACAGACCCCTGAGTGTCTGTCATAGACAGACCCCTGAGTGTCTGTCATAGACAGACCCCTGAGTGTCTATCATAGACAGACCCCTGAGTGCCTGTCATAGACAGACCCCTGAGTGTCTGTCATAGACAGACCCCTGAGTGCCTGTCATAGACAGACCCCTGAGTGCCTGTTATAGACAGACCCCTGAGTGCCTGTCATAGACAGACCCCTGAGTGTCTGTCATAGACAGACCCCTGTGTGTCTGTCATAGACAGACCCCTGTGTGTCTGTCATAGACAGACCCCTGAGTGTCTGTCATAGACAGACCCCTGAGTGCCTGTCATAGACAGACCCCTGAGTGTCAGCCATAGACAGACCCCTGAGTGTCTGTCATAGACAGACTGAGTGGAGTTTTCCACTTGTGCCCGAAGAACATGATATTCCTTGACTTTCCCCAGTTATTTACAATGCCATCACTGCTGGAGACTAGAAACATTACATATATTAATGTTTAGATATATATAAAAATGAAGAAGAAAGAAAGCAAAACAAAAGGTCAATTTCCGCTGTCGATTTCCCGCCGTTTTCATTGCTGTTTCTGGAAAGGGGAACAAAGATTTATTCACTGGCAATCTTCTTGCTGGAAATGTGATATGTAGCAATAACAAATCAAAATAAAGCAAACATGGTAAATTGCATGAATAATGGGTTGATGCCATATCGGTTTGAATAATTGAATACTGACTTTCCATAACATACGAAATACAGCACAACCTCATTTGTTCTTCTATTTACGACCAGATCTTGTTCCATCAATAGGGTTTTCCCTGTACATGTATTTGTGGAACGATATGAGGACAGAAAAGTTGGTATTTGATCTTAGAATATTATTGTTTGTTTCCAGCCGGCCTCTTTGTGCGGTGTTTGAGCACGGATGAACTAAACTATTCTTACGCTGGGACAAGGCTCACGAAATGTAATGCGACGTTGCAGTAAAAAAATTAGCCCGAGTAAACTCAGACCTAACCCCGTCTTGTAGAGGGTCGACATTATCTTTCTTTCTTTTTTTTTTTTTTGGTCAGCTGCTGATCAATGCTGACGTTTATTGACCGGAATTTATGAAGTGTGTGATAAACAGACAGCCCCCCCCCCCCCCCAAATGCCACTACCATTATATTTTCCCTTCCACACATCGGAGAGACGCGTCTTGTATCACTGTACTTGACGTACCTGCGTGAGTTTGCTTCTTGTTATGTAGGAGTTAATAAAGGTTAGTGACCTGATATGGTGGAGTTGGAGTTTTATTTGAGCTCTGTATACGGCACGACAGCGACAGTTCATACACCCCCCCCCCCTGTTCCCCCCTCCCCTCCCCACCCCTCCTACACACACACACACACACACACACACACACACACACACACACACACACACACACACACACACACACACACACACACACACACACACACACACACGTTTTCTTTCCATTTTCCCCCGCCAACTAAAGATGAAAAAAAGAAAAGATATGCCTAATTTAATAAACGACATGTGCTCACAAAAAAATTGAAATTTGAAAAAACCAAAAACTGTGATAGACGTACCAGACAAAGATCCTATACTGTAGGCGAAGACAACATGTGGTTCGCTCAGCTGAAAAAGCGCCCAATCGGGGCTACTTCTCAGATTGAACGTTCTTTCCTTTGTCAAGAAGTAAAGTAGCCCATACTGTAGGCCCAGTTTGTGAAACAATAGACGACCGGAGAAGAACAACAAATTCAAGTCACATTTTTCTTTTTTAAAAAAAGAGTTCTGCATAATTATCATTCGAAACTGACGGCAAAGGGCTTTCTATTCCTATCACTGGCGGAGTAGCATTTTGTTCCTACGCTCACTTTTTCTGGTTCAAAGATGCGATGCCTAAATGTAACAACAAGGTCAAGTCCAGAAAAAGCCTATCATTTAAGCCATGAACGAGGTTTTTCCTCATTTTCTCGAATTCATCTAAATGTGACTTGACCTTGGTGATGTTCTCAGGTCTTCAATTGTATTGTTGTAAATGTAATTCCGTAAAGCAATCAGCTTTTTGCTTAGCTGAATTTTAATCAAGTGCGGACGGCATCATGGCCTTTCAAGCAGATCTATTTGTACCAAACAGTTGCCAAGTCTGGAAATCTTCTGCCCAACAGCTGCTGAAAGTCCTCCGTCACACGGTTCACTCTAGTGAGTAACAACAGTAATATGGAAGAGCAATGAGCAGTGGCGTCTCAAACATTGAGTTCCAGTAACGCTATAAATACTTGTTATAAGGCCTACTACTTTTTATTAGGCCTACAACTGTTTTACTTGATGATGCATTCATCCTAAGTTTAAAATGAAAACTAAATCATTGAATCCTCGTTACATGAAGCTGCAGTGACAACATAATAACAAAGTCACCCTGATATATATGTATTAATTTCCTGCACTGTAGTTCCACAGCCAGCTGATCACCATGAAGTACTCGCTTATTTTTTCAGGTGGCGCCATCGGCGACTTTGAAGATGTTTCTTTTAGTTGCTCCATGAGAGGAGTTTCTTGTAGTTGCTCCATGAGAGGAGTTTCTTGTAGTTGCTCCATGAGAGGAGTTTCTTGTAGTTGCTCCATGAGAGGAGTTTCTTGTAGTTGCTCCATGAGAGGAGTTTCTTGTAGTTGCTCCATGAGAGGAGTTTCTTGTAGTTGCTCCATGAGAGGAGTTTCTTGTAGTTGCTCCATGAGAGGAGTTTCTTGTAGTTGCTCCATGAGAGGAGTTTCTTGTAGTTGCTCCATGAGAGGAGTTTCTTGTAGTTGCTCCATGAGAGGAGTTTCTTGTAGTTGCTCCATGAGAGGAGTTTCTTGTAGTTGCTCCATGAGAGGAGTTTCTTGTAGTTGCTCCATGAGAGGAGTTTCTTTTAGTTGCTCCATGAAAGGAGTTTCTTGTAGTTGCTCCATGAGAGGAGTTTCTTTTAGTTGCTCCATGAGAGGAGTTTCTTTTAGTTGCTCCATGAAAGGAGTTTCTTGTAGTTGCTCCATGAGAGGAGTTTCTTTTAGTTGCTCCACGAGAGGAGTGAACTAATTAAGTATCATGTAGTGCGATAGAGGATCTTTGACTAGAACAGAACACGTCATTTCTAAAGTGAAACATTCGACCCAGCCAGGACGCTGAATTGCGACAAAGAGTCTACATGCGAGGAAATCTTATCGAAAAAGGGAGGAAACATCTCGTCCCACTCGGGACCTGTCATCGAACTTCCTCTTGTTACTTTAACTATTTTTAGTTTGTCACTCACGTTACGTATACGTCATGCGAGGGTCGTTCAAAAAGTTTTGCCTCCAAGCTCATAATTTCTTTATTACTGATGCCACATACAGAAGTTGTACACCACATGAAAGCTTAGGGTGTCTGCTACATACTACATGACAGGGCCTTTACTTTTCAACATAGTCGCCTTGGGATGTGACCGATGTCTGCTGCATACTACATGACAGGGCCTTTACTTTTCAACATAGTCGCCTTCTTTGTCGATGCACATCCGCCAATGTCGAATAAGTTGTCGCATGCCGTCGGCGCAAAATTCAAGTGGTTTTCCTCCGAACTAGCGACGTACATCTTCTTGAACTTCATCGTCATGTGCATAACGTTTTCCTTTGAGGTGTTTTTCAACTTAGAAAAAAAGATAAATGTCAGATGGAGCAAGGTCTGGACCGTATGATGGGTGCTGTAAGGTTTCTTGAAATCTGAGACTTTTCATGGCATCTTAGGTTTGTCAACTCGTGTGTGGACGGGCGTTGTCGTGGTGCAAAATTGAATTTTTTCAGGCCGAACTCGTGACAGCCGTGCTCTACGTTTTCTATGGGTCTCAATATATATCGTTCAGAGTTGATAGTGGAACCTTGTTCCAAAAATATCATATGAATCAGACTTTTACATTTCCAAACCACTGTCATAAGCACTTTCAGATGAAACAACTTTGAACTTCTTGGGGCTAGGGGAACTAGTGTACCTGTATTCTTTCGATTGTCTTTAGTTCTCTGGGTCATAATGGTGTACCCAAGTCTTGTCTCCTCCGACTACACGGCGTAAGAAAGCTTCACCTTCATGAGCCAGGAGTTCATCACTAACTTGACTTCGGTTCAATTTCAGCTCGGGTGACAACATGTGGGGAGCCCACCGTGCACACACTTTCCTGTAACCCAACACATCATGGATAATACACTGAGCACTCCTTTCAGAAATCCCTAGCATTTCAATGACATTCTTTACACTTTGATCCGTCAGTTTGCTTGGATGATCTCATCCACTCTCTCCTGGTGTTGAACATCACTGGCAGAGGTGGGAGGACCACAACGAGCGCTTGGTCATGCAAATCTGTCTCTGCTGGGCTGGTATCAGCGAACTCCTTTGCCCATCTTCGAACAGTACTTACATCTACACGTCATGCTTCACCATAGACAAGCTTCATTCGACTCTATGAATATCAATGGGTGCAGCTCCCTCTGCAGTAAGGAACTCAATAACAGCTCTTTGCTTTAAGCGCACATTCATAGGTTTGCTGGACGCCATTTTCTCGGCGCAATGTACCCTCCCTTCTATGATGTAAACAGCAATACCATAAAGGTGTGACATCGTAGCCTAATTCTGGTGTTGTTGTTTTGTTTTTTTGTGTTTTTTTTTGGGGGGGAGGGGGTTGAGAGTATACATATAATATTGAAAATCAGTTGTGTAAAAATTTCATGAGAATATCTTGAATAGTTTAGGAGTTATCGGAGAGGAGGCAAAACTTTTTGAACGACCCTAGTAGAACGTCGATCGGGAAATCGAAGACTCTTCGCCTTACAAGCAAAATGCAAGTACAAGAGTGGGATCCTCACGTAAGATTGATATGTGGGGCATCGCGGTGAAATCAGGCGCTCGTCAGTTTTTTAATATGGAATTATTGGTGTCATCTGTATCACGCCTGTTCATTTTTCGTACCTTTGATGAAAAGAATACCCATCTATCTTGAGTGAAAGATGAGATAGTTGCCCTTGAAGGCGGTGCCTGTCACCTGGTGCCAGAGCTAAAATTGACAAGAAAATAGTCGTCCAACTTTGGTGGTCATTTCCAATGCCTGAGTGTCCTTGAAAACTGAAAGTTTTAATTTTTTATGCTTTTGTTTAATTTTTTCCCCAGTAGAATTCCCGCTAAAGTGTGTTTTGAATGGACATAAAATGTATTGACAGAACAAAAAAACAACAAACACTGCCCCAACCTCCCCTCAAAAGAAAAAAAAGAGATGTCACTTGCCTAACTGGCGGGAAAGTATTTTCTTTCTTTTCTTCGATTGTCTCGCCCCGGCTGTCCTGGAAGGCAAGACCAAAATCATCCAGCCAACCAGTTTTGTTGAATACATGTACATGTACTACAACCTATAGAATACTGTTGACAGTTGACAGGGGCGGAAAACGTACAATTCAAACACTCCTAGGGTGCCAAATACGTAGCACACGGCCTTCTGCGAAGTACTAAATATCTGGACTGCTGAGGCTCAGGGATTTTTGGCGTCTTACAATGGAGTCGTGTTTATTTTTATACCACCACCCATAGATCTTTTCCTGTCTCTCAAGAAATTCCGAACCAACCTGCACACCAGGATCAAAATCTTTCTGACAGGGATACAAGCTCAAGTGTCTCGCAGCGCAGATTACAGTCTTCAGAATTGACAGTTTTGAGAGAAGAATAATATTATCATTATTATCGTTATTGAAGCCCTGTCCTTCACTAAAGGCTTCTTTCGTTTACAATCCGAATCCTTGCGTAACGTGAAACGACCATTTGTTCAGCCCCATTGTCACACAAACTAAGTTGTTCTGTCAAAATGACACCTTTAATTTTAGGTTCATTATTTATTCAAACAAAAGGCGCGTGTGTGGGGGGGGGGGGGGGGGGGTTCAATTACATTAAATTACTGAATGTAATGTGAGAAAAGGAGACATCAGATTACGTTTAAACATATCGCTACCCCAGATTCAGAATTACAATGCTCTATCTCTAATATTTTGGGGCGTTTTGAGTTGCTAAGACCATGAGTTCAGAAACCAATAATATCTGCTGTATCAAAATAGAAAGATCATTCATTGGAGTCAATGTCAAGATATCCAAAGAATCGATTTGGAAAAGCTTGACATGTCAGATTTCTCAAAACTCGGTACTGAGCAGATATAACTTTGTTGCAACTCTGAGGTAGCGATAGATCCAATGACATCATTGTGTTTTGAACTTGAACGAATGGCAAAACTTAAACAAAGACATGTCAGACGCTGAGACGACCGCGAGCTAGATCTAGAGATTGTAGGCCGACCACGGAGACCGACATAACAAGATAATTCACTCGGCCAAAAAGTGTCCACGGAAGTCCGCGCACTGGTTCAGATGGCACTGCAGTCTTTGTTTTGAACAAACTTGCAAGAAAAACCTTAAAACCTTGCAAATTTTGTGGGTACTTGTTCACGAAATAAAGGGGAAAAAGAGAGAGAGAGAGAGAGAGAGAGAGAGAGAGAGAGAGAGAGAGAGAGAGAGGGGAGACGCATATTCTTTCACATGATTATATCCATTTTGCAGCGTCAGGAAAAACACAACTGAGATTATTTGAATTTGGCTACATAAAGAGATTTGATGAACTTGACAAGCTGCTGCCGTGTGGAAAAATAGAGTAGAGAAAGAAGAGCAGAGGAAGAGAGAGAGAGAGAGAGAGAGAGAGAGAGAGAGAGAGAGAGAGAGAGAGAAAGAGAGAGAGAGAGAGAGAACAACACAATAGACCTACACAGATGGCTTGAACAACTTTGCAACAAATAACACAATGAGAAAAATAAAATCGATTTGCTCTAGAAGGAGTGTGATAGTGATACCCTGATCACTAATCGCCAATGTCTGCCCCAGGCTTGACGCCTGAAGAAGAAAAACTTTACAACGGAAACAGCTACTACAATAAAAAAAAAAAGGCTTACAAGGTGTCCCAAAAGTTGTACACCGTCCTCGTTTTCAACAAAACAGCTGGATCGATAGTCTATGATAAAAAAATGTTTGAATCGAGCCGCTTCAACAAAGCAATGTTATTGAGCAAAGAAACAAGCATCGATTCTTTCAAGAACGCCAACTTTAGCTATAACACTCCTGAATATATCAGGTTTAAAAAATTTTTTTTTTTGCATGCTGCGGTTATTGTATCCTTCAAATCGTCAACTTGAAGAAGGTTGTCAGAATCTTTGGGTACCCTGTATTATGTATTAACAGTTACTTAAAAAAAGTAAAGCAGTTGCCAGTCTTAGGAGCTACCTATTTTTTTTTTTAAGTCACAGATTTCTACTCTCATGTCACAAGTTAATACATCTAATAAATAGGAGGCAAAACTGCCTTCACTCTACAAATTGCATTTAAACTAATTTAATAATAATAATAATAATAATAATAATAATAATAATAATAATAATAATAATAATAATAATAATAATGATAATAATAATAATAATAATAATAATAATAATAATAATAATAATAATAATAATAATAATAATAATAATAATAATAAATCACATTTATATAGAGCTCAACCCCGAATAAAATACACAGGGTCTGAGCGCTTTACAATACAGTACAACACACAACAGTAACATAAAACGTTATGTTCTGTCTAAAGAAAATTATTCCAAATATTCATCTTATTAATTTAAAAACAGAAACGACTTCAGCCGACATTTGAATGAATCAAAAGATTTGATCTCTCTCAAAGTACTTGGTAAAGCATTCCAGATCTTGGGGCCTTGGTATTCAAATGCCCTTTCACCCATTGTTTTAAGTTTCATAGATGGTAAAATACATTTCTTTTTGTCAGCTGATGACCTTAAACTGCGAGTTGGAATGTACAGTCTTAACAGATTTGATAAATATGATGGTGCATTATCATTCAAACATTTGTGACATATGGTGGCCAACTTGTACACAATCCTTTTCTCAACAGGAAGCCAATGCAAAGTTCGTAAAAGAGGTGTAGCAG